AGATTCACTTACAAATTATTAGAACAATCAAAACTTGACCTATCAATTTGAAGTGAAAAATTGGAGGTAACGATACAGGAGATTCAATTTTTCTGCTTGTCAATTTCAGAAATGACAAAACAAGTATGAGATTTTTATATATATAGTAACTATTTTAAAATCTATAAGAAATAAGAATGCAAGAATAGACCTTTATGGTCGTTTTCAATAATCTTCCCTACTGATAGATTAGAACTTAGGAGTTGGCGTGTTAGATTGACGATGTTGATAGAAAAGTCCTTGCACCTAAAAGTTTCTATCAAATTTTTTTTTCTTTTTTTTTTTCAAACTCTATTACATTTAATTGTCAAGAAAATTCATATATAAGATATTAGATTCTAGGTAGTTGACCAACATCGTTTGGATCAAGATTCCTTGGACCATTAGACCAACTCATAATAGTTGACAATATTTTTTTATATGTGTGGATCATTGTTATATAATAAAAATTGATACCTAATTTTGATGAGATTTCTACGGTGACAATTAAATTGTTGTAATTGTAAAACTATTAGAACTAAATCGTTACATATTAAAGTTAAAAGACTAAATTGTTACAAACTAAAATGCAGAGACTTAAATGGTTAGTTTAATGAAAGTACGTCGACTAAATGTATTTTTTTAATTAATCAAATGTCTTTTCTTTCTTTTCTTTCTCTTTTTCTAACCAAATGTATTTCTAGTATTTTATTATTTATTAAATTAACAATTTATTCCATAGAAATCAATAATTATTGAAATTTATACTAGCAAAAATTTAAATCAATGCTAATTTTGCAACCATATATTAAAATCTATCCTTCGTTATAATTTCACTCTCTCTTTTTCTTTGACAATTAAGATAGAGACATTTAAATTTTATATCTAAATATTAAACAACTTTGATCAGTCAATTAATTTGTCACCAAATTTATTTATTTGAAGGGCCAATGAAAAAATCAAATATCAGAAAATCATTATCTTCCATCTTAGTGATGGTTATTCACTAATTTCATCAACGAACAGAGAATAATTCACAATAAAACTTAAAATCATTCCCATTTCTAATAAAGATGAATGAATATCATTTTCATTTCTTCACTCTCGCAACTTATTAATTTTATTACTTTTTAAATATTGTATTTTGACGACAAATACATAGCTATTCCATCACTCCCAACAAACAAGATATAATATACATTAAATTTTACTGACGAAGTAATGCAAAAATTACTAAAATTAGATAGGGAAGATAGTACAAAAATTGAAAAAGAAAAATATCGAACAATGATTATTGCACGAGTGTGAAAATAATAATAATATGAAGAAGAGAGGGAAACATGTTTGACAGTATTTTTGGGGACGAAATAAAATAAGATATATTGTAGTACGATTGAATATCTTTGATAGGGTCCATTTTTGTGTGGCCTCCAAAATTAAATTAGTGATGGACCATTCCCAAAAGAAAAAAAAAACAAAAAAAAAATTAATGGAGCAATGTGGAGGAAATTGAATCCGATGATACAGATAATACAAATATATGATAATATATTATATTATCCAATATCCATTTTCATTTTCTGGACAGTAAAATTCGAACCAATAGTCCAATGGGACCGTCCAAGAGAAATCTAAATTTTCGGACTGGAATCAGAGTTCAATGGCTCAAAATAAAGATAATAATTTCTTTTTTGTTATTTTGTTTTGAATGAAAATCTAATATTTTTTTTTTCAATTTTGTTACTATTGTAATGTATTTTGATGATGTCAAATCGACCATAACTTAGCAGTAATTGATGTATAAAGAAATTGTGAGTTCGATCCCCACCCCGCATGTTGTACTAAAAAAAATTAGTTTGATGATACATTTTTTGTTGGTGAATGATTAAATTGCATGATAGTAAACTTATATGACTTAATGTTTAGTGAATTACTTGATGTTGGATTGGAAAAAGAAAAAAGAAATCTAGAACTTGTTCGAAATTTTGTTTACAAAATACTTTTTTTTCAAAACTAATTATTCTAAGAACTGTGATTATATGATATGTGTTATTATCTACATTTGAATAGTTCATAAGTTGGAAAAAAAACTTGAATTTATTCTTCATTTATAAAAGACGTAATTTTATTTTATTTTTTTAAAAGAAGTAGTTGTTCTCGTTGTATTTTTCCCTCTCTAAAAGAAAATGTTATTTTGAAAAAAAAAAAAAGCTAAATAAGTTAAATTTTCAATTATATTTATAACATCAACACTTAATTAGTGGAAGAAAACAGTACAATTTCGTAGCAAGAATAAATAATCTAAACGGGAAGCAATTACAGAATAATTTGTTGACATCCCTTTTAGCTTAGTTACAAAATATTCTACATTTGTTTTATTCCATACGAAACATTAGAGTAAATCATCTTTCAATTTCTAGCCGTACTCATCAAAATATTATACAAACATGTCTAAGTTAAAATAATAACTCATAAATACATCAACTTAAGCTTAGTTCAGGCGGTTGAAGATATATATGTACGACTAGAAGTCGTGACTTCGAATTCCTCCATCCTACATGTTGTACTAAAAAAACTCACATGAACACATGTTTAAAACATTGAAAATAGAGAAATAATTTAAAATTTTGGGGAATTCTGAAAAGAAGCCCTTTGGTGGGAGTAGGCATAGGTCCTTTTCTTAGCAGTAATTTATATGAGTTTGCATCTTCAAATTAAAATGGTAAGTTTCACACAACAAATTTGGTACAATAACAAATTAAATACGTATCTTTGACTATCAACAACATAGATCTTTTGCTATTATTTTTGTTGGTACGTATGCCCCATATTTTTTGGATTTAGCTCGAGAGTTATTGATGGTGTATACGTTCTATTGATGGTGTAACTTGTTTAATTGATTTAAAAGAAATCAATAAAGTTCAATTACATAATTTTTGGTTAGAGAATTCCCCACTGATTTGAACAATGAAATTTGCCCATTTCTTTTTATACTTGGCGTAATCTCCCTCATTTTGAGTCTTATAAGCTCGCTTTTCCTACGCTAGCATTATTTATATGAATTGCTTAAGACTTCAAATTATGATACAGTTTTATAAATTCTTTAAATATGCGTGTGAACCCCTAATTCACAAACACTACAACTCTTAAATCGTTCAGAGTTCTAGATAGTTCATATCAACTGTCTCCTAAAAATAGTGTTGGCAAGTTCATCTTCTTCTTCAAATCTCATGATGGTCACTTACATCAAATGTTGTAGGGTCAGACGGCTGCTCCGTGAGATTAATCGAGATGCACGTAAACTAGTCCGGACACTTACATATATAACAAAAAAAGTTCATCTTCTTCAATATTTATAAGCACAATAAATTTTGTTCGAGACGAGTACCCTATCTAACCTCTAACCAATGTACTTTCTACAATACATGGGGATGATTTTATTGGTTAATATGGAGAGATGGTGGTTGTTGCTTTTTGAAATCAAGCTTCCAAAAAAGAGACAAAGTTGTTAAATTAGTATTTGCATATAAATGGTAGAAAACATACTAATACAGTTAATACTAGAATTAGGGGAAAAACTCTCTAGATTGCTAAGCTTAGGTGTCAATTTTTATTTAAGTACTTGCAACCATTTCAAAAATCTTACAGCTTCCTTCAATTCTCTTCTTTCTTTAGATGCATTTCATAAATTTTCTTATATTTAGGCATGCTCAATAACGTTAAGATATATGTATATTGGTACATAGTTATTTGAAAATCTCATAAGATATATGTTTTTAAATCTCATGATATATATGTTTTTTTTAGTTCAATCAGAGGTGGTATCGAGATTTGAATCTATGACTTTTAGAAGAGGTGTTGCCTTTTAGAAAAATTAGATGTAATCATGTAACATGAAAATTTTCTACTTGGAACATGAAAAACCAAGTTATTCCAATTATGCATAATTTTATGTTATACTTGGTTTTATAAACCAGCTTAAGAAAAATAAAATTAATGAAACCAGCTTAAAAAATATTAATTAAAAAATTCGTAAACATTAATTAATTATGCTGCTTCAAACAAATTTTTTGCACAAAGAATAGCAGAAGAAGTTTTGCTAATTTCGAAATTAATATGAGTGAAAAGATAAGTAAAAATAAGGATATACAAATTAATGAAATGATAAAATAATAATTTTGAAAAATTTTTAGCAAGAGGTGACAGATTTTTAGGGAATTTAATCTCAATGGCTACCCATGACCGAATTTTGCTTTAACATATAAACACAAAACAGTTGTACTAAAAAAAACACAACCAAAAAAAAAAAAAACAGTTAAATTGTCTCATAATCACTCTAAACTAATTAAAGTGGTTCGTAAACCACAAGATTACCCCCTCCAATTTGTCAACTTTCTCTTCATCATCAAAATACTAGGTTATATCCCTAAACCTAAAATGAATATTTGTTAACTCTTCAAGAAATATAATATTGCAATTACTGTGCATCAATATTTTTGGCTTGTAATTTATGCAATGTATAACTTCAAGATAATTTTTTTTTGAATAACTAATATAATATAATATTATCCACTTTGGATATAAGTTCTTGTGACTTTACTTTTGGTTGCACGGTAAAGTCTCGTACCAATTAGTTATATACTCACGATCTTTCTCTTATCCCGCCAATGTGGAACTTTGATCCCGCCAATGTGGAACTTTGATCGCATCCCAACATATACAAAATAAGCTAATTAAGGTAGCGAAATCAACCAAATGGCTTAATAGTAAACTAAATAAAACACTGTTCAATTTTATCATTCCTATTCCCCATTCTCTGCAATAGAGTTTGCAAGTATTTCCCTTGTAATAAGACCATTTTTTGGTTTCCAACTGAAGAAGAAAGGAAGCTAGTAGGACTTTTACCTGATCAATATCACTGTGTATTAGAGCAAGAAGTAATTGGCAAAGAAGCAGATTTAATTAAGACTGGCAAGAGCATGATAAGAAATGGCATAAAATGGGCCATAATATGCTTACTATAGAACTCCATCAAATTCCGAAGACTTCCGAGTTCTAATCATATCTCTCTCAAACCAAATGGTTCAAATATCAACACAATTATATACCAAAGTATGAGTATGAGTGTGTTCTTTTGATCAGATTTTTCAAGTTCTTCTGTACTATATCTACTGAAGTACTGGATCTCTCATCTAGATATCACCAATTCACCATCTCATCTACAGTTAACCTGCATTCAAAGAGTTTCACTAGATAAGAACAACAAGAATCTACTTTTTATTTGTTATTTTCTTACTCTTAAGAGATTCCTACTCCGTTCAGAAAGAA